CCTTGATGACAGAATGATGACTCCTTGATGACAGAATGATGACTCCTTGATGACAGAATGATGACTCCTTGATGACTCCTTGATGACTCCTTGATGACACCTTGATGACAGAATGATGACTCCTTGATGACAGAATGATGACTCCTTGATGACAGAATGATGACTCCTTGATGACTCCTTGATGACACCTTGATGACAGAATGATGACTCCTTGATGACTCCTTGATGACACCTTGATGACAGAATGATGACTCCTTGATCACAGAATGATGACTCCTTGATGACGCAGCAGTTTGCATATCAGCTCGTGATTGAACTATCTTCGTAACGATGCAACAAGCCAAACTTCACTCATATTTCCCCTAAATAGTCTTAATCATTGGCAGCTTCCAGGAAGTAGACATGCTCATGGTTACCTTGTTTGGAGGCGTTCTTTGTCCCTCCTGGACCTGCAGTGTGGTCGTGTCGCGTCGCCTCTGTTCCTGTGTTTCGGTGTGAAAAGGCTCCCAGCAGCAGCCGGCGACGCCTCTTTCTCTGCCATTGTCCTCCTTTTCTTTAAGGAGGCTGTTCTTTGATTTCTGGCTGTCTGCTGGTTGTCTCCTTATTATTTCTTCAGTGAGAGACGAGGGCTCTCTCCTCTCTCCTCTCCCTCCCAACCTGAATCCCCAACACCCCGTCTTTTGGTCCTGCCTTCATCATTTGCATAAAAGGGTGCAAAGAGACTGCAGAGGTGTAGAGCTCTTCCGCATCTGAAATATTGGGCTGAATTTTGTATATTCAAGATGTTTTCCAGACTTTAAATGTCATTTTGGGAGTTCTATTTATAGGCCCTGAAGCCACAAACATACTGCCTCAATCAGTCCGCCCCTGCTGCAGGTTTAGTGCTCAACACTGAGCCCACAGGCAGTGCGTTGTGTTGCCCTGGTCCATGTCTGGTTGCATTATTCTGTAAAAGAAATATGTCCCCGTCCTGAAGGCTGGGTCTCTCTTTGTTCTGATGCTGAAATGATGCTCTTACATCTCTCATCAGCCTCTAAGCTGAAAGCTTTTACACATAAACCTGCGGCGTTTGCTTTCATTTCGAAAAAAAAGATGACAACACAGAAAGAGAAGGGAATGAGAGTTTAAAGAAAGCCCAGCCGTGCAGTTAGCTGATAACGGCTGATAAAGGAGAGTTAATCCTCGCTCTGTGACGGGCCACGGCATCAGGCGGCCCGAATGCAATCCGCTGGCTTTAGCTTACAGTGTGCTGCATTACAGAGCATCCCCTGCATGGCCTTTGTGTTCCACCACAATGGAACCGCATCAGATGGAGTCGAACTGGAAAGTGCTTACTGCCGTGTTTCTGTTTCCAAAGTGAAATCCTTTCTGAGGACATTTGACAGTAATCTGGCTCTTTAATAGTATTCCTTTGCTGCATTGATGCTCTTAAAGGCCTTGTTTTTATTGACTGATTTATCATAACTGAAGTGATTATTGTGGCATTTTGTGCTTTAATTATTTGTCCCTTCAGGACTTTAATTGCTCTTTGATTGAGCGTTCCTGCAACTCCAAACCTCTGCATCACGCCACATGATGCATGTGCATACTGCGAGGTAATGCAATGGGAATAAAGACTGTCAGGTTTATTGTGAGAAGCTGTTTTGAGAAGAGGTGTATTTGCAGGCTTTAGGACCCAGTTCCTCAGTCTGGGCCTAAACCACACTCCCTCCTGCAGACACTAGCGCAGAGCAGTGCTGCCGCTCAGCTGATGCACTCACAGCAGACCGAGCCTTGATGGTGTTTCCTCCGGTCCGTTCGTCAGGGTCCGATCGTCCACCGTCTGCCCCTTCGTAAAACCTTCTGCTTTACTGAGCCGCAGGATCCCTGCCGGCTCTCCTCTGGCAGCAGCAGAGGACTGTGGAGAGCTGAGGCTGTGCTGGATCAGGAGAGGGATGGTGTGATTCTGTGAAGAGAGGAAGAGAGACGCTCCGGCAGCATCATCTAACCCCCCCACCACACACACCTCTCCTAGACCCCCTTCTGTCTGGCCGACGCTCTCCCCAATAACACTCCTGCAGTCCAGACAGGCGAGCAGGAAACATGTCACAGACTAGGAGGAGCACGTACACCCGGGTGAGTGAGTACGAGGTGCTTATCATCCCGGGAGGGGAATGAATGGGCCGGTCTGTGCTGTTTGAAGTTGGTCCTAGTCGCTGCGGCGTTGTTTCTGTTGTGTCTGTTCAATTTGTTTCACCCTGTCATCATCTCCGAGTCGATTCCTACTTTGAATAGAAGGGTTTCTAATCCAGTTCAGCGCTGCATTGCTCTGTCTGAGTTGTCGCCTCTTTGTTCGGCTCAGATCGCCCCCCCGGGTTCAACGCTGCTGCTGTGATGTTCAGGTTCAGAGCTCTGTGACGACTCCGCTCTCTGAAGTACGAGAGGAGACGCGACAGTCGGACCATCAGGGCCTTTTGTCATCATAAGACACTGGACACACAATCCATGAGCACCAGAGGACTTCCTGTTTGTCATCCGTCTCTTGAGTCAGCGATGACATCAGACACTCACAGAAACACCTCCTTACTTATGGAGAAGAGACGCTCACTTTGTAATACAGCCGGCATGACATGGTGACCATCTCTTAAAGTCGTGTGCATGACAGCTCTTCAGTAGCAATACCGTCTGATACCAATGCCGGTGTTACGGTGCAGCACATGAGGCTGTGTCTCTGTTGTTATCTGCTTTTAAAGCATTACAGTCGGCGTGAGCTTTAAGAGTAGAGTGTCACTAAATAATTCAGCACGCCCTCCTCGGGTCGTCTCTGCCTTCAGCACATGGAAACATGTCGGAGCGGTGACCAAACAACACTGAAGGCTTCATTACAGACCGGTGGCCGGAGCAGAGCAGCGCATTCACAACTCTCTTCTTTTAGTTGTTTTATGACTTTAAAGGATTTATAACCCCAAAGGCTGTTTGATTGCAGATTGTTGTCGGGTGCATGTGAGTGTTCCTGAAGCACGTAAACCACAGAGTCATGCCTCTGTTATGAATCTGGAGTGTTTGATGGATTTAAGTGGATGTTACAGCTTGAATAACAGATCTCTAGACTGTGACGTAGACGATGGACGTTAGGGCGCGTTTACAGCAAAGAAGCAGCTCAAAGGTCTGTTTTCATATTGCTCATGAATTATAAGGTTAATTAGACTGTACGCAATCATGGGAACTCAGGGTCTGTATAACTGCTGCTGCAATGTGATGATGTTCATAAAAGAACACTTTCTGTTTAGTGACGTCTGGTTTTATATGAACACCTTCCAGAAGGAGAGCTGATCATTGCTTCTCTTCCTGATAATGTTTAAGAGAGAAACTGATTCTGTAGCTGTGAGTTCTGCCAGAGTTAGTTTCCTCTAACATAAGATAAGATAAGATCATCCTTTATTAGTTGGGCTGATTTGCTGAGAATAGAATAAGTGAAGATTGGTTCCCTCGGTGTTATGAGTGATGATATCTATAAATCTGTTGTTCAGCGGCTGTGATTGAGAATGTAAATCGTTCAAAATGCCTCATAAGAAGTGACACCGTGTTAAAGCTTATGTTTAAAGAGCACTGAAACAAACTCTCTATATGACCACATTCCTACAGACTTACTGATTAAATGCCGTCAACTCGTACACTATGGACGGCTGAGTATTAGGTTTAACCGCCACGTATTACAGTCTGATGTATTTTTACCTCTTCTGCTGTCCAGCTCCTAACGGCCACTCGCTTTGCATTGCTCTCCATGTCACTGCTGGTTCCTCTGTTAGTCTAGAGTCTAGATCATATCTGTGTCTAGACACAGATATGATCTAGACTCTAGACTCTAGAGTCTAGATCAGGGGTCACCAACCTTTTTGAAACAGAGCTACTTCAAGGGTACTGAGCAGTACGAAGGGCTACTTGTTTGATACAAACTTCCTCAATAACAAAGTTGCACAGATCACCTTTTAATAATAATAATAATATATGTGAAGACACTGATCACATGTCAATGTTAATTATTCCTCACATTAATTATTAACAATGATTGTGTATTTTGTTCAAAATCGCACCTGTTATATTTTTGTAAAAATGATCACTTCTAAAACATTTTAGGAAATCATTAAGTCATATCTTCACATCACGACTCGTTTGTACTAACCACTACCTTCGTAACATTTTTGAACAAATCATGAACTCTGTCCCATGTTTATACAAATTATCAGTTATGTAGAATAAAAAAAATCAACTCTTTGACATTTTTAAATGAATCCTATTACATTCGTACTAATCACCACATTTTGGGAAATCTGGGTCAACTTTGCATTGCGCAATGAAGCCTGCATGCCGGCCTGTAGTCTGTAGTCACCGACACAGCTTTTTTTTGGGTACCCTTTTCTCCACGAGAAACTAGTAAAAAGTCTCGTCTATAGCCGAGGGGGGATCCAACCCTCCGAGGCACGCGAGCGTCTTTGGTCGCCTGCGTTCAAACCTCTAGTCTGCGCCTTTTCGGTCGTACTGCGTTGCCTCGCCTCTACCCCCGCCACCCACGAGTTGTTGCCCCGCGGCCTGTTCCGAGGACTGACGGACCTGACGACGGTGTGCGATCGCGGCGGGGGCGGCGCGTCAGGTGCGTCCGGTGCCAACGGGAAGCGCCCGCCATTCGGAACCTGAAAACCCAGTGCGGTGCGGCGGCCTCTTCCTTTTAAAATCTACATGAATGCAAGCGTTTTTGATTCAAAATGAACAGAAACTACAACTTTTAGACGGAGCTCCATGGGGAGTGCTATTTTTAGAACATGCCTTGCAGGCGACTCACATGGTGCCCGCGGGCACCGTGTTGGCTACCTCTGGTCTAGACCATATCTGTGTCTAGAGTCTAGAGTCTAGACTCTAGACTCTAGACACAGATATGATCTAGACTCTAGACTCTAGACACAGATATGATCTAGACTCTAGACACAAATAGACTGTGTCTAGAGTCTAGACTCTAGACTCTAGACACAGATATGATGTCTAGAGTCTAGAGTCTAGATCATATCTGTGTCTAGAGTCTAGAGTCTAGACACAGATATGATGTCTAGAGTCTAGAGTCTAGACTCTAGACTCTAGACACAGATATGATGTCTAGAGTCTAGAGTCTAGACACAAATAGACTGTGTCTAGAGTCTAGACTCTAGACTCTAGACACAGATATGATCCATCACTGGCTGTTCGTTGGAACACATGACCAAGCAGGAAGTCTCGCTGCCTGCAGTGTTTAAACCCTGTCAGTGATGGGCTATAATGATTGGTTATTGTGCCCATAAACTGACTGATATTAGCTTATTGCAGATATATATTAGTGTGTATGGCGGCCAATAAGTAAGAAGAAAAAGTAAAAGTCCTGAATTCAAAATCCTGCTTAAAGTTACTTTTCAGGAACTTTTAGCTAATTATAAAATGTAATATGACCTCTGTGTGACCTCTGTATGACCTCATCAGTAAAGAGAAGAGTGTTTATTTCTCTAAAGTTATTCTTGATGCTCGGGTCGATGAACTCATGCAGACCAAAAGTACTTGTTTTATTATTAAACTAATATTATTGCTGTTTAAATGATCACAGAATCATTAAAAACTGTTTATTTTGACGATATTTTGTTATTTGATTTTTAAAAACTATCGATGTCGTTAAGAGCATCAAACACGGCAATCATATCAACTAAATGAGTTCTTGAATGTTTAGTTTGATATTTCTGAGTGTTTCTCTGAGTTAATCGAAGGCATAGAAGGTGTTTATAATCAGCAATGAAGACTAAAGGTCTGACAGTAGAGTCACAGATCGAGATGCTGATCACACAACATGATCACAGAACACCAGAGGAAGAGACGGATTATAACATTTCATATTTCAGAAGACCTTCACGTTGCTGCTGTTTGTCTGTTCACTGTCCTCAACCTTTAAACACAGACGGTGAGTGTTCAGCGTGTTCTCTATCGGCTCCTCTCTGTTCTGCTGAGTCACCAGCACTTCTAGGACATCGCACTGTAAATTGGGTTATGCAGGATTATTTGATTACTAAATATTGCGGCCCGTCTCGAAACCTTTTTACTGCGCGATGTGTTCCCCACACGTCATCATGCTGCTGGACCCATCACCAGAGCGCTGCTGCTCTTAGGCGTGTGTTTGACATGAAGAGAGTGAAAGATGAGGCTCAGTGGGTCAGAATGACACAGAACTACTTCTCTTCCCTCAGCAGCTCGTCTGTGTGTGCTCACACCGTCCTGTAAGAGATGTCCTGCAGCTTGTGATGCTCGTGCACTGCAGTCATGACATTACAAGCCTTTGGTTGTCAGGTTGGAGTTAGATTGTGCTTTAGAGAGAAATTGAATGCCACACAATGTTTGATAAGCTGTTAAAATGTACAGTAAGTACAGTAAGAGAAATTTCTGGCATCTGCTCTTGTATAAGCAGATATTGAGCTCAAGTTACAACTCAAGTTAGATCTCATCTTGTGGTTTGGAACTGATTTCAAGCATTACATGTAATCTAAGTCTGTGATGCATTAGCAATGAATGCAGATTGTTAAAAGAAGTTTCATGAATGCTAATGGCCAGGCAGCTTCTATCATCACGGTGAGTAAGTTGAAGTGAAGATGGATTGTTCAGAATGCACTGATATGTCCGCAGTTGTGATAGGATGGTCCTAAATAATCCTCATAAGCATCGAGCATTCTTTGGATGTTGAATCCCGTTTATAATGTTTAGAGTCAGAGCATAGACTAGATATCAGACGTGGACATCGTGACGTCACACGTTGGTTTGTGGACTCGGGTCTTGAAGCCTTGAGTTTGGCAATTTGGCCGTCGCCATCTTTGATTTTTGGACTTTGTCATCTTAGATTTTTTGCAGCCAGTGAATGGAAGTGACCACATTTGGACTGCGGAGGAGGGACGTAGTGCTCTGTTAGCGACCTGTCAATCACCGTGTAGCCCCGCCCTAAAGCATCCCCTGCTTTATGGTCTGTTTGACTCTAAATGGACCATAATGTACTAAATGAACATCATGCTGTATTGAAGAAGACTTGAAACTAGAGATTGAGACCATAAACTCATGTTTACAATGTTTACTGAGGTAATAAATCAAGAGAGAAGTAGAGTCATTTTCTCATAGACTTCTATACAACCAGAGGAGTCGCCCCCTGGTGGACACTAGAGAGAATGCAGGTTGTCTCCTGGTTAGACCGTCCTGAAGGGTTGCTGCAGCTGTGTAGTATTGCGCTTCAAAGTCGGGGGACTTGTGGTCACATTTGGTGCTACTGGGTCCAGGATGTCCCAGCTTTAAATCCCGAGTATTCATCAATCTTCAAAGCCACGAGATCCTACACTACCCACAATGCAACTTGATAGTGTCTTTCATTCCCAGTCTGGTGAACACCCACGACTGAGGGTTATTACCTCAGACTCTCCTCCAGAGAAGAAGAAGAAACTCCCTATACTGATATGTATATTTAGAGGAGTGAACAGTGTTTTAGCAGTGTGTGTTTTAGCAGTGTGTGTTTTAACAGTGTGTGTGTTCTTCGTCCCACCTCAGACCAGCGGCAGCAGCAGGATGAGCTCGGACGGGGGCGGGCGGCCCGTCAAAGTGGGCTCCCTGGTGGAGGTGATTGGGAAGGGGCAGCAGGGCACGGTGGCCTACATCGGCAACACGCTCTTCGCCTCCGGGAAATGGGTGGGAGTCATCCTGGACGAGGCCAAGGGCAAGAACGACGGCACCGTGCAGGGCAAGCGCTACTTCACCTGCGAGGAGAACCGTGGGATATTTGTGAGACAATCGCAGGTAAACGACAACAATAGTTATTTACTTTACTTTCCTGTCATGTGTAGAGCTGGAGATCTAAAGAAGAGGATGATGTCATTGTCTCCACCATCTAGCACCCAACCAGTACACCCCCACCTGTCTATTGTTTACTTTCTGACTTTGTGAGATGTTTGAGATTCTGTTTTACTTTCATCTGACGCAGTGGGTTTGTGTGGCGGTTGATATTTCTGCTTCAGGCTGCGTCTTTGCTTGTTTTCTGATTTATTTTTTACTCTCAGAACAAATCCTGCAAAATGCCACTGCGTATTACATTAGCATATGTTATCTACGGTGGCCTGTAGGAGACAATGCATCCCAAGGGAAAGAAAGGAAAGTAGTGAGACTTGTCTTGTTGTCACTGCTTCAGTTTCATGGGGATTTAATGAGCTCCTGTAGTGTTCTCATTGTGGAAGGTTGTTTTGAGGTAAAGCTCTTCTACAGACAACGTTTCTAAAGTATTTATTACACCAGCAGTCTTCCTCTTCCCTCTCTCTGCTGGTACAGTGCAGCGTTTCTTAGCTCATTTCACCACCTGTAGTATGATGTGGAACCATTGACAGCAGTGTGTCTGTGTGTGTGTGTACACAAGACACACAACAAGGGAAACAGCTGCACTATATCGCTCCTAGAGCTCTACATCTTCACAGGGTACCTTCTAAACTTCTCAGACACATCGGGCCTCATTTCACACTCTGATCCGAAAGCAAACTTCACATCTGTTTCTTCTGTGAGGTTTGGTTAACTTGATGAACGTGTGTTTGTAAGGTTTACCTGTCTGGTAAAAAGTAAAAATAAGTAATGAATCATTTAAAACCAGCAGGTGAAAATAGAACAAGTGTAACGGTGTCGGTATGAAATGCAGCTGTGAATGCTGCGTCACCACAGAGAGACAGATATAGAGCAGGACGGTCTCACATGACGTTACATACAGAAGGTGTGTCTCTGAAGCAAAGCAGCCCGTGAAGAACAGTCAAGGAAATGTGAGCGTCATGGAGAAGCACTTCAATATATCCATCACAGGTGATGTTACATCGTTGAGGAAGTTCCCTGATGAAGACCCAGAGGCAGAGAATATTCCCAACAGCTAACTCATAAACTGTGGAAGTTCTCGTGCCAAAATACTCATAAACTCCAAATTCATTATTCTTAATTCCACAATGAAGAGACGCAGACGGTCTGTATATACAGTTGTGTGAAAAAGTGTTTGACCCCTTCCTGATTTCTTATTTTTTTGCATGTTTGTCGCACTTAAATGTTTCAGATCATCAAACAAATTTAAATATTAGACAAAGATAACACAAGTAAACACAAAATGCAGTTTTTAAATGAAGGTTTTTATTATTAAGGGAAAAAAAAATCCAAACCTACATGACCCTGTGTGAAAAAGTGATTGCCCCCTAAACCTAATAACTGGTTGGGCCACCCTTAGCAGCAACAACTGCAATCAAGCGTTTGTGATAACTGGCAATGAGTCTTTTACAGCGCTGTAGAGGAATTCTGGCCCAGTCATCTTTGCAGAATTGTTGTAATTCAGCCACATTGGAGGGTTTTCGAGCATGAACCGCCTTTTTAAGGTCATGCCACAGCATCTCAATTGGATTCAGGTCGGGACTTTGACTAGGCCACTCCAAAGTCTTCATTTTGTTTTTCTTAAGCCATTCAGAGGTGGACTTGCTGGTGTGTTTTGGATCGTTGTCCTGCTGCAGAACCCAAGTGCGCTTCAGCTTGAGGTCACGAACAGATGGCCGGACATTCTCCTTCAGGATTTTTTGGTAGACAGCAGAATTCATGGTTCCATTTACCACAGCAAGCCTTCCAGGTCCTGAAGCAGCAAAACAGCCCCAGACCATCACACTACCACCACCATATTTTACTGTTGGTATGATGTTCCTTTTCTGAAATGCCGTGTTACTTTTACGCCAGATGTAATGGGACATACACCTTCCAAAAAGTTCAACTTGTGTCCGTCAGTCCACAGAGTATTTTCCCAAAAGTCTTGGGGATCATCAAGATGTTTTCTGGCAAAACTGAGATGAGCCTTTATGTTCTTTTTGCTCAGCAGTGGTTTCCGTCTTGGAACTCTGCCATGCAGGCCATTTTTGCCCAGTCTCTTTCTTATGGTGGAGTCATGAACACTGACCTTAATTGAGGCAAGTGAGGCCTGCAGTTCTTTGGATGTTGTTCTGGGGTCTTTTGTGACCTCTTGGATGAGTCGTCGCTGCGCTCTTGGGGTAATTTTGGTCGGCCGGCCACTCCTGGGAAGGTTCACCACTGTTCCATGTTTTCGCCATTTGTGGATAATGGCTCTCACTGTGGTTCGCTGGAGTCCCAAAGCTTTAGAAATGGCTTTGTAACCTTTTCCAGACTGATAGATCTCAATTACTTTGTTTCTCATTTGTTCCTGAATTTCTTTGGATCGCAGCATGATGTCTAGCTTTTGAGGATCTTTTGGTCTACCTCACTTTGTCAGGCAGGTCCTATTTAAGTGATTTCTTGATTGAGAACAGGTGTGGCAGTAATCAGGCCTGGCTGTGGCTAGAGAAATTGAACTCAGCTTTCCAAAGATGTGATAAACCACAGTTAATTTATGTTTTAACAGGGGGGGGGAATCACTTTTTCACACAGGGCCATGTAGGTTTGGATTTTTTTCCCCCCTTAATAATAAAAACCTTCACTTAAAAACTGTGTTTGCTTGTGTTATCTTTGTCTAATATTTAAATTTGTTTGATGATCTGAAACATTTAAGTGTGACAAACATGCAAAAAAATAAGAAATCAGGAAGGGGGCAAACACTTTTTCACACAACTGTACGTACGTCACCGAACAGAGAATGCTGTTAAATCACTTGACACTTAAGAAGGAATGTATTTGATGGTGATTCCTGCTTGAGGCCTTTGTTGTTGTTGAGTGAACACGGAGAGTAGATGTTACCTGCTGTGAGCCAGCTGCTCAGGTACACACACACACACACCGCTCAGCGTCTCTGCAACGCAGAAACATTACGACTCACCTGATATATATTTGAATGAACATGAATAAATGTTGTTTGTTGTGGCTCCCTTCCTTGCCAGCTCTGAGAGTCGTTGGAGGACATAAATAACTCTTATTGCTTTCTGTCCATCTCAGATCCAGCTGGTTAACGACGGGGCCGACACAACGTCTCCGGAGACGCCTGAGCCCGGCACCGGCACCGGCACCGGCACCGGCACCGGCACCGGCAAGGTTCCCAAACGAGGTAAGGACACAGATGGTTCTGTCTTTGGTCCTCATCACCTTCTTGTGACATTAATAAAAACAGTATTCTCTGATTCATGGCACTGCGGTCCAACTCACACCTCTTTGGTAACTGACGGGTTGCAGGTTTTATCACCACATCAAAGTGTTTGTGCTGCTTTCTTAAGAAGTCGATCCGTCTGATAGCTGATGATGCTAAACACCGTCTACATCTTCCTGCCTCCTTTCTCCTGATTGGTCGTAAAGTAAACCGAGTCTTTCTGCATCTTAAGAGCAGCTTCAATGTTATTTCTGTCAGTTTACAGGTACTTTCTTTTTATCAGAATGGATTCATCACCACATCAGTCACGTCTCCATTGCTGTATGAGTGTATACGTGCCCTTAAGCAAGGCAGTGTAACCCCACCTGCTCTCTCTCTGTAGCTCATGTGGTTTCTGCTAAAGGTCTGAAATATAAATGTGCTTCGGTAAGTTTCTCATTACAGGCTCTGGTTTCATGAGTGAGTCCTCCACTCTGCACAAGGTTGTGGGTGTGAATCCCTCTGTGTGCACTGCCGGTCCGTTAAAGCTCTGCAGATGTTCTAATGATGTCGAACTAAACTGCAACACGTCGTCTTTCTACTGCTGACAGCGAACATCTTCTTCTTACCGCCTCAGACTAACAGACGTTTGTCTTTAATGTTAGACGAAGAGATGAGACAAAATAATCAAGCAACAGATTCAAGCTTCAACTGCCAGATAGTAGTAATAACAACACAGTAATAACAACACAGTAATAACAACATAGTAATAACAATACAGTAATAACAACACAGTAATAACAACACAGTAATAACAGTTGACATAACAAGTGACATTAATAGCTGTTCGGGAGCTTTTGATCGTATCGTCATCTGCTGAGGAATATAGTGTAATAATAATTATAATAATAATAATACAAATATGTTTTTTTATTTAGTATCTTTCAAAATAAAGTTCAAAGTGTTTTACAGTAAAAACAATTAAATTAAATTAAACAACTAAAATCCAAACCACAGGAGTTTGAAAATAATCGAAATAATTACAACAAATACCATCAGTTTAGAAAAAAACAATAAATATCACGTGACCTGCGTGATTTAGATTTTTATTGGGAGATTTGCAACATCAAACAATAAAAAACAAACTGTATAAAACAACAACATGTGAAATACATTCACACTGTTCCTCCTCTGTCCTGCTGATGGATTTATCAGCAGTGCTGTTCAGATGTTCAGAGTCTCGTATAATCTCCATTATTCCCATTTTTATTCCAGCTGAGCTTCGTGTCTTTAAGAGATGCGTCTGTTTTTCCAATTAAGAAGATTTCTGAAGTGATTATCAGTCGTTTCTTTGTTGTGGCCCAAACTCCTCCCAGCTCCTTTTATTGGCTCTTTTGCTTACTTCTAGTATTTAAACGACTATTTTAGACCTTTATATTCTAGTATTTGTTGTAGCACTTTATGCACTATTACCCAAAACAGCAAAACAGATGTTCCACATGCGACTGTGTCTCTGAAAGTATCCGTGTTGGCCTTCATCTGTTTGCAGCAGGATCTTTGTGGGACTTTACAGCTCGTTAAAGATGATAAACACTGATCATAATATAATATTTACTTACGTTTCTCACTTTCTTTGTTTCTCTTTTTTTATCTCCTCAGAGATCCTGGGGACGCCCAAGTCCACGAAACTGGTGAGTCGGATAACGCTGTGACACAGTGACCTGCAGGAAATCAGGACACACACACACACACACAAACTCTATGTTATCTAAAGGAAACCCTGTGTGTTGCTGTTGCCACACCTGCTCTGCTGTTTCAGACTTTATCAGAGAAAGTCTTCCTCTTTCACAGGTTCACAGGTGATCAAGTTCATTTATTTCACTCAATAGTTTGACTTCAGTCTAAAGAGAGTAACTGAACATCTCTGAGTGCATTGCATGTGCAGTAGTTGTTGACGCTGAAGGAGGGACACACCGACAATCTGGAAGTTAGAAGTATGAGTTTACAGTACGAAGGAGTAATATACATATCCTTAAATACTACAAACGTGAGATTAACTCTTCTTTGTTATACGGCTGTAAAAGGAGAAGAATCTCCGTCCATAATTAAAATACATTGAAATTTATAAGAAATACAATTTTCTTTTAGATAATCTTAAATAATAATTATGAGTTTAACAAATTAGACAAACTTCCAAATCAAACCCGAGCTGAAGGTTCTGTGTTCATATGTGACCAGCAGAGGGCGACGTTTACTTATATAAAACACAAACGTAGCATATTACTATAATAACAAGTTTATATTAATACCTTCCTGTGAGCAGTTTGTGTGAGAATGAGCTGAATGAAGTGTGTGAAGGTGAATGAAGTGTTTATTGGATGGAGGTCTCTGATCCACCGACTCTCCTCAGCACCCCCCCCCCCCCCCCCCCCCCCCCCCCCATCACCTCCAGCATGCCTCTGACAAACTCTTCCTTCCTCTCTTCCTTCCTCACTTCCTTCCCTTCTTTCCTCCGACCACGCAGCGAGGAGTGAAGCCCAAAAAGGTGCTGCATGTTTCTGTGACCTCGGTACAGTGTGATGTTGTGTTGATGACTGTAGTGACCTCGCTGCTGCATGGCTAACGGCCTCGTGCTCATTGTTTTACCCATGATGCCTCACACCTCGCCACACACCGCCTATCCGTGGCCTTGTTGCCGAGCCGCTCTGTGTTCATGCGAGCGTGAATGTGAGCGAATGAAGGGAGCGAGAGGTGGCGCGTGTGTCCACTTCCTGTCACGTGACCGCCCCTCCCCGGGCTCTCTGCTCTGCTCTGTATGTGTATGGGTACTTCTCAAGTCTCTTAATTGTCGTTTCCTCGCTCCTCGATCCTCGCTTGAACCGGAAGTTGTTTCTGCGCCGCCATATTGATGGCTGTCCCAAAGCTCTAATGTAGCTCTGAGGATGGCGGATGGAGGAGGGACCTCGGAGGAGCCATGAGCGAGGAACCATGAGAACAGACTTCCAGGAAGTCTTTTAACGGCCGACACGCCCCCTCACTGTTCATCAGTCATGTGATTGGACGCTGCAGCCGATCAGACTGACTGACTGAGTTTAACACCAGAGTGAAGACGGATCAGAGTAAACTCTAGTTTATATTTGATTAGGTTTCTGATTCAACATCTGGTTTAAATAAAAGTTCATTGTAGTCTGAACAACAAAAGGACCACAAACAACTTTCTACATTTATTAGAAAGATTTGTGTTTTCATGATCTGATGTTTCCCTCAATAACTTTATTATGAATACAATTAAAGTCAGAGAGAGCTGAGAGACGAAACACTTTTTACATCATTCCTGAGTGTTTGATGAGTTTTATCATTTAAGAGAAACAATAATCATATTCTGGGTTATTTAATAATGACGTCACAGTCACAATTTCAAAACGTACAGACGCAAATAATTCATAAATAAGACGATCGCATTCCGCCGGTAGAAATGGATCCTGAGCTTATAAACAGAACACAGGACACAGTTTAACAGACTACAGAGAGAAACACCTCTACAGTGGTGATCACTGTGTGTCTTTATTAGTTATTAGTGTTATTAGTTACTGTTATTAAGTACAGTGATCATGTGAACAGACACAAACTTATCAAAAGTCTCTCCAGCTGTTAAAGCCGACTGACAGCTGATCAGCTGTGATCAGCTGATCCACCGTCATCAGAAACAGACGTCGCTTCACGTGACGCAGCTGAGGAAAGGACGTCTCATGTCTCTTAAAACATATCTCCTCGTTCCTCTCTCCTCGCATGGTTTCCTCCATGCATCCCTGGTGGGAGGGACTAAGACGCAAGGAAAGGACCCAAGTGAAGGAAACGGGGATGACATTAAGAGACTTGAGATGTACCCTTTGTTGGTCTGCATGCTGACTCAGCTGTTTTCCTGTTTTCGTGGTTATTTCTGCGTGAATCAGGAGCACCGACATGTTTGATCCAACAGTCCGGTTCTGAGAGAATCTTACTCGCATGATATTCAGCACGAAGCTCTCAATAACATGTAAACGTTGGGTTTGTGGCATTCAGAGGGGAGGTTGTATGAACAGGATCCAGCTGAGAGCAGTCAGCTTCACTTTGCAGCCGTGTTGGTTTAACACTGACGCACTAAGACACATGTGATGTGTGGGGCTGGTTGGGCTCATAAGTCCATCAACGGGAATATAAAGGTCATCAATGTTGATCATGGATTGTTAGGTTTTAGTCATTTATCAAGTAAAAATGCTAAATATTTTATCAATTGTATTTTATAAATCATAGAAATCACCAGATTCTTTGAAGATTCAGATTCATTCAAATATAATTGTAAATGTATTTGTCTTATTGTATCCGTCTCACTCTCTACTGTCAGTAAGCCTCAGCATTTCATCTGATCCATAAGAACCCAGTTCAAACCTTTCTGCTGTACTGTTCATGTGTTTTGGTAAAAAGATTACAAGTTTTAACAATCAAATCTATTCTAACTATCAAAGAAGGCAATAAAGAAGTCAGAGATGTGACGACGTAGCACAGCAGTGGAGCTCTGGTGTTCAACCCTAAAATACTTGAGTCCTTCCAGCTTCATCAGGAACAGCCGTGATGTTCATGTTTCATCTTAACATGCTGCGAATGAGACGCCATCAGAATATAATGCAGAAATATGATATGTTGTGAGTTTTATGTTGCACCCTCCGGGGATTCATCACGACTCGGTTCAGTTCTCTTTAATATTCATCCTCCGCTGACTCATACATGCTGATAAATGTCAGGCGGTGACGCCTCCACCTGCAGAGAACAGACCTGAGAACAGACCTGCTGCAGAGGATGGATTTCCTGTCAGCTCGGTTCTACTTTATCGTCTCCTGTACATCGTTACAGACGAGACAGAACATATGAAAGGGTGAACTATTCTCTACTTTAAATAGTTCAACTAAGTCTGAACCTTCTGTTCCTCCAGTTAAAGTTATAGATTTATTATCCAGTCTTTATTTTAAAGAGAAGGGAAGGAACGTGTTGTATTCATGGAACCACAACGTGTTCAATAATAAATACATGTATGAATACATGAATGAATGAATAAATAGATAAAAAGATACATAAATAGGTAGAAAGATACATAGATAGATGAATGAATAAATAATAGATAAAAAGATAGATAGATAAATATATGAATGAATAAATAAATGAATCAATAAAATAACAGATACAGTGTGAATCAATGTAGTAAATGAACAAAGCTCAATTTATTGTTCTTTGTTTTCATAGTAATAAGATTATGATCGTCATGAAGTCTGTTTCTCGACAGCAGAGTCGTCATCAACACGTCTTTAAATCAGACGAGTGAGCGGGACGAAGTGTAAATAACTTTGATTTTGCTTCTTTTATTGCTGTCGGCTGCGATAGACTTCTTGTGCATCACGCGTCTCTCTCCAGTTTCCCTGAGTGAAATAACCGTCACCGTTCTGCCCGCTTAGTGCAAGCCGAGCGTGTTGCTGATGCTGCGTTTGTGCTTCCTGAGCGCTCATTTCATCCCCTCGCCGTCCTGCTGGAGGCGGCAGAGCCGTGTGTGTGCGTGTGCGTGCGTGTGCGTGTGCGTGTGCGTGCAGGCGCGCGTGCTGGAACCTGATACATCTCCGTCTGTCTCACCCCATCACTCCAGCGTTCGTCGTCTCAGAGCAGCACTTAGTCGGTGTTTAATATTTCATCAGGACAGATTCTCTGTAACGGATACGTGTAAACACTTCTTCTCTCCGCTTCAGCAGCCTGAACTCTCAAGTTCTGCTTCAGTCTTTCTCATATAATCTCACAAAGAAAAACAACCTCTCTGTATTTACTGTATAGCCGAGTTTCATCACAGCCCACAATGTGAAAGTACTTCAGGTTTAAAGCTCGCAGCTGATCAGAGTATTCCTGTTTAATGAATCCTCTTACATGCTCTCTCGCCCTGCTGCTGGTGCAGAGAAGAGATTAGTGGAGCAGAGGAATGAACTGACCTGTTAAATCACTGTTTATACTAAAATCCCCTTTTTTACAACAGTCAGTGTTACATGTAGAGCTCAAGACTAGCGTCTACTTTGAGTCTTAATCGGCTATTTTAACACTGAATGTTTTAATCCATTTTGTAAAGTTTCTTTTAATTAACAAGTAATCAGAATAGAACAAATACACTGTTAGGTATGGACAGTACTCTGAGTTCAAGTAGCAATACTAGTGTACAAATACTGTGGTACAAGTACACGCCCTGCATTCAAAATATACTGAAAGTACCAAAAGTAAAAGTATTCATTCTGCAGAATGGACCAGTTCAGATTCATACATATCATATCGTCATACATGAATGTGTTGCAGCTGGAAAGGATGGACAGCATAACCTATAACATTACATCATAATGTATATGTCTTAATGTAATGGAGTAGTATAAAGTATTCATACTGCTCACCCTTAATGACTGCAGATGAGTCCACATTTACTGCATCATATAATGTATGAAACTACATAATGATACACAATGAGTTAAAATATGAAAAGGAGTATAAAGATAAACTTCATTACAACAACAGATACAAAGATCATAAACAGATAAACTAAACAACGTTTAAGACTTTTAGACTTTTTAACATGTTACAGATCAGAGCTCTGCCAGTGTTGCTAGGTGACAAGAGAGGCTTGCATCGGCGTTGCTGCTCATGTTGCTCCCTCTCCTCCGTCTCTCCTCCGTCTCACATCCTCTGTTTGTCCCATGTCACCCCCCCCCCCCCCCCCGAGTGGGTGTTTGAGGAGGGAGGGAGGGAGGAGGCTGCACAGTGATGTAATGCAGGAGCAGGGCATTGGCTGGGCTGGCCAATCACAACAAGCAGAGCGATAAGGGGGGGGGGGGGGGGGGAATGAGACAGGAGGGGAGAGAGGAAGGTTAGCGGAGGCGAGGCGTCTCCTTGTGAGCAGAAGCAGGTCGGAAGGCTCTCGGCAGCGAGATGTCCGAGTCGTAAACGGAGAAAGGAGAGGGAGGCACCGACTGAGGATTATGAGAGCAGCTGAGCAGGAGGACATAAAGGAGGACGATAGCAGGAGGACAGAGGAAGGGAGGGGGAGCCTGGGAAAACATCGCTGCGGCCATTTCCACCACTGCAGCTTCCCGGCCTGAGTGGCTGCCTGTCTGTCTGTTCGGCTTCAGCTGTCTGTCGGTCTGCCTGCCTGTCTGTCCGTCCATCCGTCCGTCCGTCCTGGTCTCTGTGGATCGAACATCTTTACCTGTTTTATCACCTTCCTGTGTGTGTGTGTGTGTGTGTGTGTATTTCTTGGTGACTGTGTGTGTGTGTGTGTCGTCTTCTCTTGCAAATATGATGAGACAGACTCCTGCACCCCGGAAGGTACAGAACTCCATATGATGGTCCTTTTCTGTTAGGATGTTGTTGTTGTTGTCACCATGCATGTGTCTTGTTGCAGGGCTGCTGTGAACGTCATTGATGATAATCGCCCTTTTTATTTTCTCTCAAGCGATCTCTGATATTCTCAGTTTGGAAGTAGAAGCGTAGCTGCAGCTCGGTTGTGACCGTATTTGACCATTTCATCAGTTTATCTGTTGCTCAGCACTGATTTGTGCAGAATTATTCCATGCCTATCCATGTGTGTGCAGTTGTATTTGTGTGGACAGCACAAGCTTTTCTCTTTTATTCGGCCTCATCATGCAGAAGCTCTTTTTACCATCAGAGGGGAGTCACATGATTTCACTCTTGGTTGCAGATGAAGGTAGCAAACAGGCTGATCTCAGTACAGCCTGTCCTCGTATCTACAGCACGACACCACAGCTTAAGAGGTACAGCTGTTAGCTGTTAGCTCGGGCTAATTTCTGCTGAATGGTCCGGCTCTAATCCAATAAAGAACGATAACTAGCCAGAGAGACGGCTGTGCCCAAGCTCTGTGTGTGTGTGTGTGTGTGTGTGTGTGTGTGTGTGTGTGTGTGTGT